ATTTAGTAAATATGGTGAAATATCAACAATATATATTGATGAAAATAAACATTTTGGATTTGTTGAATTTACATCATCAATTGATGCACAACGTGCATTAGAACATACACATAATAAGACTGTAAATGGTTCAAAACTTCGTGTTGAATATGCTAAAACATCACGCGATAATCGACGTCCATTATCTCGTGATCGTTCACCAACATCGATTTTATATAGTCAATTACAGGTTTAAATCAAAAGAATTTGCTTTCTTTTACTGGTATCGAAAATGCAAAATTAAAGTAGAATTTTCTATGTTTAGATAGAGTGTGACGAGTTTATCAACAGTATATGTATTTTTATTATTTTAGGATGAATTTTTAGAAGAAAAATTTTAGTTTTTTCCGATGAGGTCCTTTGTTCCGAGAAGGTAGTCGATTATCGAAAATTGATCACTTTTTCAGACAAAGTATGTCATTAGAAAAAATTCTGCTTTAATTTTGCATTTCTGACACATCTTAAAAATTTTTATTTTTTGAAATATGTTCTTTTTTCCTTATAGGTAACAGCTAATCGTTTACCATCTATGCAAGCATTTCGACAAAATTATTATCAACATTATCCATTAACAATGACAACTAATCCTATAACAACATCTCGTGGTCGATCGTTAACACCACCATCATTTAAACAAAATCTTCGTTTACCACCGATGCATCATTTACGATCACAAGATTTCTATTATCATCATCATCCAACTCTTTACAGTGATCCAACTTATTATCGAACATATGGTGATCCATATTTAATGCAACGACTACCACCACCAGCTTTTCTTCCTTCGTCACCACCACCATCATCATCATCATCATCATCGCGTGCCTATAGAAATATGTATTCATCATCTGGTATTAATCGTTATACGACAAATATATCTGCATCATCATCACATCATAGACGAAGTCGTAGTCGTAGTCGGCACAGGTACGAAAAAAAGAAAGAAAACAGATCAACATTACATCGAATTGTTCGTTGTTATACATCTTTTCTTTTCTACTCATCATATTTATTCATCGTTTCGATTATGTGACAACTGCTTATGTCATAATCTAAATTTCTTTTCTTTTTCAAAGCAGACAGTTCTTGGAGAATATAATGGAATTTTTATAAAGGTTGGTTTTTTCCGATTTGCTATATCTCTATATAAAATAATACTTTTTTTTTATATATGAAATTAAAAAAGAAGAAAAAAACAACAAACAATTATTTTATCTTTTACTTTATATTTAGAAATTCACTATCACATCGAAATCGATCTAGTCGTGAACAAAAACGTAAACGACGAACATCATCATCATCATCATCATCATCATCTGAACAAAAACGTGGACGTGGACCACGCACACCACTACATCGTTCTAGGAAACGGTAATAGTCATTTGTACTAATCACTTAAAAGTTTTCAAAGTACTTGTCATATCTGTTACACATTTTCAACACTGAAGAAGCTTACAATGCAATATCTTTTGTTTTTTGTGAAATATTTCTGCTTCACTATTAAACGATTTTCCGGTAAAACAGATCAGAATCTATTCTCTCGAAAGTCATATTTCGATGGACATAAACATTCACATGTTTTTTTTTGACGCAAGTTGAGAGTTTTTTTCTGATCTATGTTTTACATTTTAATCCCAGAAGAATTGCGCTGACAGGGTTCTTTTATCTACTTTTAAAATATATTATTAAATATTGAATTGAATTCCTTTGATTATTACGATAGTTAAATGAGTCTACGGCATGAACCATATAATTAATTTTCTTAACTTCGGATAAATAAAAACCGATATTTCATCATACTCATAAATGATTTTACCAAGTACGATAAAACGACGCTTTGAGAACTTTTTTTTGTCGTCTTGATTATGATTTTAATTCGATATTGCGACCATCAATTCATGTTTTAAAGTCAGCCATCGAATCATATGAAATTCTTACACTAATATTAAAATTCTTCAAGCTTTTAGAATTCAAAGTATCAATGACATGATGGCAATAGACTAGAAATTCAATTCAATACTTTTTATTATAATCGGAAGGATATCTTAAAAGTAGGTTACAAGAATATTGAATATCAGTCTCTAGTGTAAAAAAAATCGATGAGATGTCTTTTCTAAGAATAAGGAATGTAATTGTATCGTCGAGAGAACAATTTGTAATACAAGTAATAAAGATTTGTTTTCGTTAATAATAGTACACACTCTCAGCTTCAAAATCAGAACTATTCTCAAGTTCATTATTTTTTTTTTTTTGAATATTCATTAAAATGCAGTTATATCAACCAAAGAAACACTTTAAAGCATTATATTGATTAAAAATGTGTAGATATGAATGGAATCAATCACATTCATACGTAGGAATGAGTTATTGAATTATCTTGTGATGGATTACAAGTTCGAAGAATTATGAAGATTTATTTGAGATAATACGAAATTCGCCGTAGACTTTCAGCGATTACCAAAAAGATATCTGTTCACTTTAGATACAACTCTCACACTTTCTCTGGTACTGTATATGTATGTTAATTACACCAATTAGTATATAGAGGGCGGAATATTTATTTATAAATAGAACAGTATGAGATTCTTTTTTTTTCAATTATTTTAGATCTCGTTCGAGTTCTGATGCAGCGTCTTCGACATCTAATCAAAAATCATCATCATCATCATCATCATCATCATCATCAGATTCATCATCACAAGATGTTGAAAATGAAGACAAACGATCTAGTTCAAGAAAGTGAGCTAAAAACAAAAAATCTTTGATTCAATTAATTATTTTTAAATGATAGATCTTTAGATAATGATTCAGATCGAAAATACTCAAAACGAAAGACAAGAGAATGAATAATAAATATTAAAATATTCCTGTTTATTTGCTATTTCACTGTGTAATTGTATGTGTGTTTTCTGTTCTTTCTTTTCTTTTTTGTTTCGTTACATATTGCACATTCATCATATGATTGAATTGCTAACTTTTTGATGATTTCTATCATTGTTGCTAATGTACGTGATATGAACGCATAGGAACGTTACTATAAACATGTATGATTATTTGTATTGTTGTTGAAAATAAATAAACTATGAACACGTACACGTATATATATATATATGAACATCATTTTTGACATTGAGATAATCGAAAGATAATATTCGAATATTTGTAGCAATCAATTAAATATCGTCAATAAGAAGTGAGGCTGGAACTCCGATCTAAGAAATTTTCGGTTCAGACCAGTCAAAAATTTATCTCATTAATCTCCATAAAAAGTCTTATTCCTATGAATAGTTCGTGTGCTCCGTAGTACTAAGAAAATTGCATTGCGAAAGATTGTATTGTGTGTTCGTAGACGAAAAATACTATATGAATTTTGTGGTTGAAGTGCTTCAGTTGAAGCTATTAATTGTTCAATCAATAGTTTGATTAAATGCTCGAAAATCTTATTCGTAAGGAAATGCTTCAGATCTTCAATTAAAATAAGAATATGTTCGTTTAATATAAGCTTAGGCATATATTTCGAATAATATTCTGTTTCTTGTTTACATATTTGTGTAATAATTTTTCATGTTTGCAAAATATTTTTCAATTAATCGATTTTATGAAATATACCTAACTGTTAATCGCCAATCGAAGTGATATTTTACTTCATAAATAGGACTCAGTGAGACTAGGAAAAGCCTAAAAGGATTCGTCTCCATAGATTTTCCTTTTGAAGTTATGATCGTTTTACCTGGTTTTTGGCTAATGGCAAGTTATTTATAAAAAAAAATGAGAAAGAAGGAATTTTCATCTAAAATTTTGCCCACAAATAGGTCATATGATCTTTAGAATATCCTGAAAGTTTCAGCTAAAATGGATGGTTTCTTCTTGAGATATTGAATGTTCAAAAAAAAACGACTTTTCTTCAGTATTCAATATCTTGAGAAATACTCATCCATTTCGGCTAAAACTTTCAGGATGTTCTAAAGATCATAAGACCTATTTGTGGGCAAAATCGTAGATGAAAATTCCTTCTTTTTCATTTCTTTTATAAATAACTTGCCATAAGCCAAAAATCAGGTAAAACGATCATAACTTCAAAAGGAAAGCCTATGGAGACAAATCCTTTTAGACTTTTTCTGAACTCCCTGATTTATATTTATAGATAAAATATCACTTCGATCGGCGATTAACAGTAGAGCATGTTCCTTCGTTAAGAAGACAAAAAAGAACAATATTGAAACTTGCATAATATTCATAGATATTCAAAATTATTAAATAAATGATTTTTTTATATGAAGAAAACTCTTATGTTTAATATAGAAATAAAAAATAAACAGACAAATGCATAAGATAATATGTACTTATAATTCACTCGAAATTAAGAAGTTATTAAATATAAATGTTTGATAATATTGCTAGTCTTATTAGAGCTATATTTATTTGGTGACATTAAGAAGTGCATTATTGTGACACGTATCATGTTGTTTGATGAGAAAGTGCAACAGATGGAATAATGAGTTCAACATTAATAGTTTTAGTCGTGTAAAAGTAGAACATAAATAATCACAATTAAGAAAATGTGGAATAAATATACATATAAATCCTTAAAGAGATTCATAAGATACTTAAAGAAATACTATAGAATAAATTTTGAAAAAGTTCATCCGTATGAAACATCTAAAGTTTAACACATATTGAATTTGTATTATGACAATATCAAATTTAAAAATCATTTGACAACTTTTTTTGCTACTACGAATTAGATTAATCTTTTGTATTTATTGTATAAGAAATATGTATTACAATCAAAAAAATAAATACATGAACAGTACGTTACAATATAGAACCAATTATAATTTCGATTGTGAATGAAAATTTCCAAATATAATCCTCTAAGTTTTCATACTACGATACATAGCTATTGCTTGATTCATGTTATGTAGTTGATGTATTGATAAATCTCCAAAGAGGATCTGAGCTCATCTATAAAATCGATTATTTTTACCAAATAAGTATGTAATGATTTTAACTATAAAATGATCGAATTCATGTCCGCTAGCAAGAAATCTAAAAAAACAAAAATACACATTTTTTTTTTAAATATACTACCGAAACATTTCTACTTACACATAGAAACTCGCACTACTATTAATAAAGACAAGCATTCTCATTATTTGTGCAAGAATATTTTCAACTGCTAATTGAAAATCACTTTTACTAATACTCTGTGTAAATGTAGTATAGAGTTTTTGAATAGCAATAAGTGATGTAGTTGTAATAATAAAAATAAATTATACAAGTGTCATTTTTAATAATTGATGATCTCGTTTTCTTAATTGATTAATATGTGTATTATGATTTATTGTTAATGGATGAATATGTAAATGACTTTGATGAATTTGATAAACAGTTGCTAATCCAACACTATTCATTATTATTGGTGGTATAAAAGCAAATGTAGTTATATAAAATAAATCATAAAATATTCAATAAGTTTCTGTTTAAGCATAACAATATGGACTAGTTTTAAATTGTTCAACAGTAAATAAAACAAATATATGAGAATATAAACTTGAACCAATTAATAATCAACAAAATCATAACTTCATATTTGAAAATATGGTAATAAAAATAAAATTTCAAAATAATCATCATCGGTTTATGGCTTTTTTAGGATATTAAAAATAATCCACTTCAAGTCGATATGAACATGTTTATGAAATCTAATGGGTAAAAAAAATTTAACAATATTCGTTTGTTCTATACACATAATTTTTTTTTAGGGAGTTGAAGAATTTGAGACATTTTATGTCGCTTGTTGAACGTCATGTGCAATATATTCGTGATGAAATGCAAAAGGAATTATCTAATCGTACAATTATTGTATCACAATCTGCAGAACAAAATGCTCAAGATTTAGGATATTTAGCAAATGCACAACAATTTGTTGCTTCTCCACAAAGTCCATAGTTTCATGAACGTTGTCCAACGTGTCAAGGTGCTACCTATATTGTATGTCCAAATTGTCCACAGGACAGTGGTCAATATGTGCCATGTCCGCAATGTCAATACGAACCACATATTCAATGTCCAAACGTTGCTCAATAAACTAAAAAAATGAAGCAGATGAATGTGATATATTTGAAATGTGATAAAGCTTACATTTTTTTTTATAAAGTTTTTAACGATAAAAAGAGAAGAAAATAAAGAAGACGATTGATCATTTACCAAAAACATTTTTTTAAATGAACATATACCTTCTTGACAAGTATAGAAATTTTTAACATTATCTAAACTAAACAATATAATGTCTGTTCGATGTGTTCAGTGAATACATAAATTACTCTTGAGAATTCTATTTAAAAAGTTCACTTTCTCTTTTGACAGTCTCAATAGCTAATTGAATTGCATCAATTCAATAAAGATTGATACATTTTGTAAAGATATATGTTCTAATCATTGTTGAACTTCCACTTTTGAACGCTGATTAAGTTTTAAGGGTGGGTGTGGGTGTGAGTCAAAAGTACAATAGGAATCGCACCCACATCCCACACACTCGTACCCACCCACACCCACCCTTTATGATATACTGGTGCTCACTAGAAGATTTTTATCTGTTGATTAAATAAATTTTATGAACATATTTATGTGACGAAATATTTACTCGTTCTCATTCTTTTTACAGAAGACAGGAAGATCATCAAATCACATACATAGATCCTGTTCTTAGCACAAGTTTAAAATTGATTCTGAAAAATGTGCTTTCTATCAAATGATAATGGTTATCTTTATCCTACAATTGCGTTAGAGCTTTAAGAACTCACCAAAAAACTTAACACCAATCTAAGTGATTCTTCATTTGAAATATCGACTTGGCTTGGTATGACTGTAGCCATGCTCTAAATAGAATAAAAATACACTTCACATAATAACGCCATGTTTTTTTTCAAGTTTTCTGTTCTTTTCTTTTCTCTTAACCATTTATACAACGATGTCAGAAATAAGAGAAGGAAGAAAATAAATATTTACCTATGAAAATGGCACGACAATAACAGCTAAGTTGCACAATGCAACTTAGAATCAGAATAGCATTAGTGAAAATCAACGTGCATGCTTGAAGATAAAAGTTTTCATCGAACAAATATTTCAAAGTATCCAGCCAACTCTTCTCGCTCATCTATATCAACTTATCATACATCATTTCGGGACTGGTCATTTGTTCTTTTTGGTTAATGGTATTATACTAGGAAGTGCTTACATGATGATAGATGATAATTGAAAAAGAAATATAAGTATTCAAGTTAGAAGCGACATTATCAATGTGAAGCGTTCCATAGTTTAGTAGTAATATAATTTTGACAAATATTTATACTTGGCTATAAGGATATACAAGGACATAGTGAAACTCAAATAATCATAAGTGTCTCGAAGTAAAAGAAAAATGTGTACATGAAAGAAGAAGAACGGAGGGAAAAGGAGGCAAAGGGAAAAAGAGAAAGAGAGAGAGAGATGTATTACGTCGTATCCTTTTTCTTCTTAATAATTTTCAAATGACCGCGATGAATGCTTTTCCTTTTGTGATACGTGTCTCAAACGAAGATGTCGTTGTAAAAAAGTGAGGATCCAAGATCGGCTGAATGTATGATTCTCAATCTTTGAATATATTTTTTAACGTAAAAATCTAAATAGTGTTCAAAGATGATAGTAGAAAGATTATATGTAGAGACGAAGGGACAGCAATGCTCTACACAGGATTTTTGTTGTAATATCTGTTCCTGAGTCTCTTCTACGATACATTTCTTTCGAATTTTAACCATTTCAATTTTCCTCGTGATCTCTGAGTATTTCCTATATAGTGGTGGACTGTGAATTTCAAGGGTAGTGTATCCGCCCGTATGAACCCCCGATACTTAAATCCTTTAACCAATTCAATATTTTCTCCGTTCATCATTATGTTCAGTTTTAGTCTTCTTATTTGTATATGAAATAACTGTGCTACAGTTTTAGATATATTTATAGGTTGCTTCCAATTTTTGGAGTATAATTGAGTTACTATTTTACTTTATTTCAACACAAATCGTTTACTATAAGAGTACTATTGGTTATGTGTTACTATTCCACATACTAGCCCAACAGTCTTTAACTATTCTTTTCTTGCCTTTCCTTATATATGTGCGAGAAGAGAGAAGGAAATGGAAAGAGAAGATATGAGTAAATAGTTGAGAGACCGAATACATGACCGTTGTTGTTAATAATGTACGTTGGTCTAGATAGACGATGACTGACCGCCCTCACATTGTAATTCTCTAGACAGAGAATAAGGATAAGATGTGTATTAATTATTGGGACAATATACATTTGATTACAAATTCGGATACCTTCACATTCCACATACTAAATCATTTCAGCTAAGTGTGTCATGGTATGAGGTTTAATCAGTACGCTAAGATCATCAGCAAAACGATGACCTGAATGAACCCTAAGACAGTTAATTAGATCATAGTGAAAATGAGTAAACAGGTACGAGCTGAGACTACTATCCTGTGAGAGTCCTGTATAATCAGTAGATCGAGTGTCAGAACAAATCTCCATAGTTTGAACAAAAGGGCAGCGTGTCTTATTGTTTCTTTTTTTCCAAGCATCATTTCTCTGTTACTTTGTTAGTTTCTGATTTCGTTCGAAATAACAAAATATTTCATAGTTATTACATGTATACAGAATTCAAATCTAGCAAGAAAATCTATAGTGTTTGTTATTATAAATAAATAAAGAAAACAAATATTCCACTCGTTCTTCTAGCCGATTAGGCTGAAAAGTTGAATCTATCCTAGTCGAAAATCATTCCACCGCCCCTAATCGTACCCATTTTCGATTCATATGTAACTACAACACATTTCTACTTTTGATCAATATATAACATTTGAGTGCTCGAAAAAATATTTGTATGTACATAATCTTCTATGAGATGTAGCATGTCCATAATCGAAATATGTCTTTATCAATCATTCTTAAAAACAAAATAATAGATCAATTTTCTTTTTTTGTTCGCTGATTAATGATAAAATTATGAGAAAAATAAAATCTTCTTCTTAATATATGAAAATATGAACAAGAACAATTATATAAAAAAAAGCAGATTAATTGATTCATATTTAATTGATTTGAGGATTAAATATGTTGTGCGTATAGTTATTGTGTTATTTTTAATATCCAATGAACTTATTTTATTGTTCAATACTATTCCATTTGATTAAAGGTTCGTATTTTGAACCTGTTTCTCTGATGATCCAGATTGATTTTTTTTTCGAGAATTGTTCATATTAGCAATGCGAAAACTTTCTAGAATATAAAAAAAAAATCTCAAATATATTATGCACAAAATATTAATTCAATAGATTTTTTCAATTCATGCTGCAAATATGAAATTATATAAAGAGAAATAAGGATTTTCTTTATTACATTAAATAATTACAAAGTGTCTATGGGACATTTCAGGCACAACGAAACATACTCAGCTTTCATATGACTTTGGTTCTCTGAGCTAACTATTAATTAATATTAGTTAATTAATCATATAACTAATTAGAAAATATCTCTTTAACCATACCAGGAAAAAGTTGAAAATTTCAGAATATACTCTGCAATACGAATCACATCTGTGGTAAGATTTTAAACGAAATCGAAGTCCGAAAAACTGCCTATTGAAAACAGTTTTCTAGAGATTTCAACAATTTTGAAACAAAATTTTCATCTTACCATCATGTAGAAATTCTCATGAAAGATTTGTACCGTTTGGAGTCATTTCTAAGAATATGTCCTCAATTTCTGAGGCTTTTCAAACTAAAATGTTTGATGTGAACGTCGATGTTCTTTTCTTGTTACGTTATTAACGTTAGGATTTTTCACTGATAACATCTTTGAACACAGATCTCTAATGCTAACTTCTTCATAGTATCTAAAGTAACTTAACATACATATTGCATATAAAAACAACTCTAAGAAAGTTTATTATCACGAGATATATGTGTTCAAAGTCACGTCCCGTAACGAATGATGTAGCCCATATGTGAATTTACTTAGAGATTACATAAATTCGATGTCTCGGAAAGACTTTAGACAAATCAAAATCGAATTTGAATGCAACAGTAGATATTTCGAGTAGAACGTATCATATATGAAGGTTTTAAATTCGATGAATTCTTATTTTTGATCTTTGTCGATTCGTTGAAAATAGAATAGTAATTTGTCTAGAAAGTTGACAAAATGTTCGTCAATGAAATAAAATTTATAAACTTCTAATTTGACTTCGATCTATCAAAAAAAAAATCTAATCACACTAATGATTATATCTAATATAATCGACTATAGATGAACATATTTTACCAAGAAATTCATTAATATCAATTTGTCCATTTTTATCTAAATCCATAGC